CCATGTAATTACAAGGTAATAAAAATGGTAATTAAATTTAATTACTACCTTATTACTATGTAATTACATGGTAATTATGTTACAAAAGGAAAAATATTTTAGTAAAACTACCTTTATTGGGTAACTACAATCAAATTACTATTCCATAGTAACTCAACACTATATTTATAACCAAAAGAATGCAACTAAATTTTGGGGTTAGTGGTGAGTTGCAATAAAATATAGCTTTAAAACTGTCCAAATTACCTACAACTTATTTAGGTGTTTCATAGTGAATTGTAATACATTACCAGGTAAGTGCCACATTACTGCAGACAATTAATGACATAGTAAAATTGTACTCTAATTACCACATAATTACATGTAATAAGGTAGTAATTATATTTATTTACTTTTTTATTACCTTGTACCATGGTAATAAGGGTACCTTAAAAGAAAGCGTAACCAAAATAAGAGTCACCAGTAAACTTTGTTTGAGATTGTTGATGTGCTGTAAAGAATACAGTCATTTCTATGCTTACGTTTTAACTTCTGATTTCTTTAGACTACCGGTATATATGTTTTTTCCTCTACCTCCCATTTCCTGCTGTGAGAGTGTTTCTCCAGGAGATAATATCTTACTGTGAAGTGCTTGAGTGAACAGCAGCTACACGTTGTCTCTAACATCTCCATTGTTAACATATAAAAACAATTCTTCTGTCCTCATCATCTGTYACATTTCAGCTCACGTCCTATTTGCTCATTTGTCTCCTCAATAGGATTGCCCTCCGTGCTTTGTATTCTACATTGCTATTGGCAGATTTATTTATATTGTTCATCACCATGTAGACCTATTAACRCGTATTCGTTTGACACCCTTTTCCAGCCTTAATGTGTTAATTAGACACCTGTAGGATCAGTTAACCAAAGCTGCCATAGAACAGCTCAAGTGCAATTTTTTTTTCTTCTTACAGTGCTTTATTTTGTTCCTAGCTAGACCCGTTACTTTATTGTGACAAGCATTATGCTGCTGTGTTTTCCTTTTCAGGGCATCATGTCCTYTCACAAGGCCAGCGACCCATAATAAGATACACAGAAATTTTCTGTTGGACTGGATTAGATTACATGATGGATCACTGAGTGCCCTAAAACATGAAAAAAAAATAGCATTTGTGTTCTGTCTGTAAAGGCTSTCTCCCATTATCTCCCATCTCAGGGTGATTGAGCAGCTGGGTGGAAAACAGCTGGTGATGAATCATATGCACCACGAGGACCAACTCGTCCGCTACAACGCCYTGTTGGCTGTGCAGAAGCTGATGGTCCACAACTGGTATGAACAAACATGGCTTCACTGGTGCTGGTGTATTTTTCTGTAGATGTAAATCTCACTTTTTGTTCCTAAAGAGTTCTCTAAGCCCCGCTTTCTGATGCAGAGCATCATTCTGCATACAAATGACTGAAACCCCAGATCAACCTCATGCATATTTTCATTTCTTCTGGCTGATTAGACGGCAGCTTAGGTTGAAGGTCAGAGATGCATTTGGAGTTATGTAAGGTCAAATAGAAATCTGTACTGCTGAGAATACTGAGGYGCAAAAGGGTTAACTACAGGTTTAAAGTGTTGAGTTTGTTCCCACAAAAGTTACTGCACTTACRGCCTGTGGAAGAGTAAGTTTTGAGACACTTGAATAGCATGAGCAATTTTCTAAATAATAAATCTTCTAAAACATAAAATACTTTTTAATTAACTGCAGCTAATTGAGTTAAAAGGACCAAAAAATAAAAAAGCTTTCTTTCTGGTTGTCAGATATCCTGCTCTGAGCTTTCTGCTGACATAAATCTCAGTTTTGATCACCTGTCCAAATGTGTCACCCACAGTGTTTTGAACGCTGAGTGATGTATTTTACTTCTATCTCAAGCCACCCCTCTCTATATATATTTTCACTGGCTGAGTACTGGAGTGCTCAGAAGCACTAGAAAATAAACAAGAGACAAATGGAAATGTGTTTTTGTGTGCGTGCCCATTATCTAAAACATGCACCGAGTTTCCTGAGCCACTCTGTGTAACCTATTCATCTAAGTAATGTCTCTGGTAAACAGTGGAATCACAGGCGTGTGGACAGAAATTTGTAAGCAGGGGCAAAAAAGGTTTCCTTTCTTGTTTTCAGTAACAAGAAGGAAGAAACACTGATCTTTATTATCTAGGCATTGATTCAAAAAAAGTGTTCAAAACAGAATATATCCATTTWTTTATCCGTAGCAAAATCTTAGAATCAGAAAGAAATGAGATTTGCTTTCTAGAAGAGAAGCTTCTTACAAAAACCATTTAAAAATAAAGAGTAAGTTAGATTTTAGACATATTATGTTAGCACACATTGAACCCAAGTAAAAGTTTGACATTTGTTTTTCTCTCATTGGGCCTCATGCAAGAACATGTTCGTATTTTTATCCTAAATTTCTCTTACTTTTGTTCGTAC